TATTCTAACACGGATACAGTAAACTTTAGTTTCTTTTTGATGGAACTATAAAGTTTCTACCTGTATTAGTGAGAACTACTATATAGAAAAGAGTGAATACATAAGTAATTACTTAATTACAATATCTTCTTCACTGAAGCCTCAATCCCTATTCTTCTCCAATGAAATCACTTCAGTTATAAATTTTGTGCCTTTTGGATGTTAATTCAACCTGTGTTGAAGGAATGTTATTCACTAAAAAGAAACATTATGTTTAACTATTAAAACTGATAGACATGGTACAAAGAAAGATATCTAGACTTTAGTTAAGGAGTTAAAAATTATTCTCATTTTACAAATGAAGACAAAACACTTTCCCAACATTTTAAAAATAATATTTAATTTTTCCCCAATTACATGTAAAAACAATTTATAACATTCATTTTAAAGTTTTGAGTTCCAAATTCTATCCCTTCCTCCCTTCCCTATCCCCCTCCCGAGATGCTAAACAATTTTCTATACGTTATACATGTGCAATCATATAAAACATTTCCATATTAGTCATTATGTAGAAGAAAACTTGAACAAAAAAAAGTGAAAAATAGTATGCTTCAGTCTGTAGTCAGATGCCATCAGTTCTTTCTCTGGAGACAGATAGCATTTTTCATCATGAGTCCTTTGGGATTGTCTTGGATCATTGTATTGCTGAGAATAGCTAAGTCATTCACAGTGTTCATCATATAATATTGCTGTTACTGTGTACAATGTTCTCCTGGTTCTGTTCACTTCAATCTGTATCAATTCATGTAAGTCTTTCCAGGTTTTTCTGAAATAATCCTGCTTGTCATTTCTTATAGCACAATAAGATTCCATTACAATCATATACCACAACTTATTAAGCCATTCCCCAATTGATGGGTATCTCCTCAATTTCCAGTTCTTAGACACTACAAAATGAGTGGCTACAAGTATTTTTTTGTAAAAATAGGCTCCCCGCCACCTTTATTTATCTCTTTGGCATACAGACCTAGTAAATGTATTGCTGGATCAAAGAGTAAGCCTAGTTTTATAGCCCTTTGGAATAGTTCCAAATTGCTCTCCAGAATGGTTGCATCAGTTTACAACTCCACCAACAGTGTATTAGTGCCTCAGTTTTCCCACATCCCTTCCAACATTTATCATTTTCCTTTTCTGTTGTATTAACAGATATGATGGGCATGAGGTGGTACCTCAGATTTGTTTTAAGAGGATTCTTTCACTTGACTATACATAGCTTTGATTTTTTTTTTGTCTGAAAACTGCTATACATACCCTTTGACTATCAATTGGGGAATGACTTGTAGTCTTATAAATTTGACTCAGTTCTCTATATTTTTGAGAAATAAGGCCTTTATTAGAGATACTTGATGTAAACATTTCCCCTCAGTTCTGTGCTTTCCTTCTAATTTTGGTTGCACTGATTTTGTGCAAAAACTTTTTTTTACATAATCAAACTTATCCATTTTATATTTCATAATGCTCTCTATATCTTGTTTGGCCCTAAATTGTTTCCTTATACATATACCTGACAGTTAAATTATTCCATGTTCTCCTAATTTGCTTATGATATCACCCATTGTCTAAATCATGTACCCATTTTGACCTTATTTTGGTATACAACAAGGATCTTGGTCTATACCTAGTTTCTGCCATATTGTTTTCCTGTTTCCCTAGCAGTTCTTGTCAAATAAATGAATTTTTGTCCCCAAAGCTTTGGTCTTTGGGTTTATCAGACACTAGATTACCATGGTCATTAATTACTGTGTATTGTGTACCTAATCTATTCCACTGATCCACCACTATTTCTTAGCCAACACCATATTGTTTTGATGATTAACACTTCATAATACAGTTTGAGATCTGATACATCTAAACCACCTTATTATTACATAATAATAATAATTATTCACATAATTTTTTGGTAGTTTCATTGGTATGGCAATGAATAAGTAGATTAATTCAGGTAGATTTATCATTTTTTATATTGGCCCAGGCTACTCATGAGCAATTAATATTTTTCCTATTGTTTAGACCTGATTTTACTTGTGTGAAAAGTGTTTTGTAATTGTGTTCATATGGTTCCTAGGTTTGTCTTGGCAGGTAGACTCTCAAGTATTTTATATTTTCTACAGCTATTTTAAATGGGATTTCTCTTTCTATATCTTGCTGCTGGACTTTGTTGGTAATATGTAGAAATGCTGATGATTTATGTGGGTTTATTTTATATCCTGCAACTTTGCTGAAGTTGCTAACTATTTCAACCAGTTTTTTTTTAGTTGATTCTCTAGATACAACATCAAATAACATCTAAGTATAACAGTATATCATCTGCAGGGATAGTTTTTGTTTCCTCATTTTCCTATTTTAATTCTTTTGATTTCTTTTTCTTCTCTTATTGCTATAGCTCACATTTCCAATACAATATTGAATAATAGTGGTGAAAATGGGCATCCTTGTTCTCACCTGAACTTACTGGGAAGGCTTCCAGCTGATTCCCATTACAGATAATGCTTGCTGATGGTTTTAGATAAATATTACTTCTCATTTAAAGGAAAGCTTCATTTATTCCTATGCTCTCTAGTTTATTTTTTAAATAGGAATGGGTGTTGTATTTTGTTAAAGGCTTTTTCTGCATCCGTTAATGTTAAATCATACGATTTTTGTTGATTTTCTTATTGATATGATAAATTATGCGGATAGTTTTCCAACATTATTAATGCTCACAATTTCTATTTTGGAAAAGTATGATACCAGCATAACACTGCATATTGAAAATGCTATTTGCCCCAGAATTGCATCAATTTTCAAGGGCTAAGCAACTAAAAAATTTCAAAATGTCACCTATATTAAATAATTGTGCCCTGTACAAAACATTTTACAAAAGTCAGTCACATGTACTATCAACAGCACTGAACCCATAATTTCCTTAAGGTAAGTTTCTAAGACATAAACTGCTTACAAATAGCAGAAAACTGCATATCTCAATAGAGGAAATGTATATATGTGTGTGAACACATATGTGTGTCACACACACATATGTGTATACTATATGCATATGTATTTATATATGTGTGTATATATGTGTGTGTGTGTGTGTGTCTGTGTATATATATTACATATATTAAAAATAAATATCTTTTATGGGTGTGTATTTTTATTTAATCACCAATATGAAAATCTAATAACTCTCCAAGGGAAGATATTTTCTCATAAAAATAATTCCCTTTTGATTGATAACAGTCAATAACCCACTTCCTAGAGATTTCCAAAGTCCCATTTAACTAACATTAGCCCGGCTAAGATTGGAATACTTCTAGAGAAAAAAAGCTAATTTCAAAATATTTGCTATTTCATTTCCTAGCACGAAGAATTATTGTACTTACTCGCTAATCAATTGATATTGTACTATATTAATCACACTCTTACATCTAAATCAATCACAATCTTACATATTTTAAATAAGCTTTTGAAAGAGTTAACTCTGTCACCAAGGTCTCACAGTTCAATACATTATCACCACAATATTCCTGTGTTTAAGTAAAGTACTCACTTTCTCTAAACAACATCTCTTTGGCTTGTTTTCTTCAGTATTACAGTCCATGGTCTACACTAGTGTTTATGCCATCTTTGGTTAATCCTGACAGACATATTTAAAGCAGGCTGCCAAGATAAACTAGCATGCAATTCTAAAGCCAAATTTAACTCTTAAATAATGCAAACACTGTTTTTCAACCCACCAATGATCCAGTATCTCCATGAAGATTTTTACATGGGGGCACAGCATTAGCCTAGGTTGAAGCAGTAATTAGATAGTTGGAGAGGTAAATCATTTATCATTCTGTTGTTGTTTTTTAAAGGCAATTGGGGTTAAGTAACTTGCCCACAGTCACACAGCTAGTAAGTGTCAAGTGTTTGGTCTGAGGCTGGATTTGAACTCAGGTCCTCTTGACTTTAGAACTGGTGCTCTATCCACTGCACCACCTAGCTGCCCCCATTTATCATTCTGGATCCCAGAAATATGAATTAATGAGAGCAGAACAGACCCTGGTATATCTGGAAATGAGATCAATCTATTCAGGCAACAGCGGACTTTTAAGTTATGCTTAATCAATGAAAATCTCATCCTTAAAAGGTTAGAAGTCATTAATTCTTGAATCATAGTATGAAGGGAAGAGAAGCATGGAGGAAAATAAGCAGAAGAATCTGACAATACAATGCTAACACATATTTTTCCTTTGCTTTTAGACTGCAATTCACCACTAACAGGTATTCTGCAGATACTCTTAATTAAATAGCAGATATAGGTTTGTTTGTTTGTTTTTTTACAAGAAGGGAGAAAATTGCATATTAGGAGTCTGGACACATTAATTACTTAATACTTCCATGGCTTGAAACACTGGGCTATGTTTGACCCAAGATGTTTTCAAAAATTAAATATCCTTTCAGTCCACCATCATAAATAGGAGTAGCTATGCTACATTTTTAAATGTCTGTTATATTTTATATATATGCAAGCATATGAGCACACATGTACATATGCATATATATAAATAAACATACATTCATGAGCATCATGTTACTGCCTTGGAACTCATCTATATTCTCTACATTTCACATTTAAACCATCATCTCCTTCTCACAGTTTCTTTTTAAGCCAAGATATAAGTACAATAGTAAATCACCTAGAATGAGCCCCTCCCTGACCCCATCTGTAGAATTGGAACACTTCCCTATCTGAGGTCATTCAAGTCATCATGACTTTTCACAGCTGTGCAGATAACCACCAGGCATGCATTTGTTTTAGCTATTGTTTAAGTTAAGCTATAATTGCATTGTTACTATTCACAATTAGAATGCTCCATAAGAAGCTGTGTGCTTTATTTCCAAAAATAAAACACAGAGTGCATGTCTTTGATTTGCTTGCTTTGTAGGCAATTCTCAAGTAAAATTTTGTCACACATTACCAATATTCTGAACTGGCATGGACTATTACTGTAAAATTTATTGCTACAGTCACACATTTAAAACAGATATTTTGTTACAGTTTTTGCCATAGCCCAAGCCCTCAAAAAACCCTCAAGTATTTCTGAGGAGGTCACAAGTCAGTGTACCTTAGGTACTTAACAGAAGAATGATGGCTGGCTATTGACATGGAACTACTTTTGAATTCTAATAAATAAAATTATTTGTATCACTGTGAGTTATGGGAAACCCTTATGCTTCCTCATTTCAATACTTAACTGGCACGTTAATTAACAGTGAAGGAGACCTTCCGAAAAACAATTTTAAAAATTATTGTTTCATCTAATTCATCTAAGTCTAAATCAATCTCAAAGCAAATGATTATAGAATTTTTAAAACATGAATTTAACAGTAAGATCAGAAAAATTATTTTGAATATACATAAGACTCTACAACAAATTATTTTGCACACAAAGTAGTACATAAAAGAAAACCAAAGTTTTTAGAAAGATCCTAACAACAATGAGGTTTGTGCTTCTAATAATTCCTAAGAAGCCAATAAGTATATATTCCCACTGAGACACTAGTCAGCTCTTAAGAAGATGAAATCAAGTCTTCTGTGTTTTTAAGCAGTACAGTAGTTCCAAGTCTGCTACAACCATATTGAAATGCCTTCTATAGGCACTAAATAAAAGAATGCATCATACTCCAGAACAACAAAGTTCTAACCTAGCCTGAGATTTTTACCACATAACAAAGGAAAGATGATGATGATGATGAGTTCATGGTATTTTGGTTCACATCCAATTAGGCCTTCAAGGCTTTTCTGAGGTCACCAAAAAAGTTTACCAGAGTGCTAGCCATGGCTGTATCTACTGCAGACTGAGGAAGCATCCCTCGAAGATCTGTCTGAATATAGCCTGTCAAAAGACTTCTATCAAGACTGTCTTTAAGTGGGACACAAAACCAACCACAAGGATGATTATATCCACGGACAAAATCTGGTCTCATTTCTTCATAGTGGACACTTACACCTACAAAACAATTTAAAATAACATTATTAAGAACAATAATTTGCCTCTATTTACCATAAAGGATATGAGGATTTCCTAAGTTTTGTTCCCATTTTTCATACTGGGAAAATTAATTGCTAATAGTTTTAGTGGTTTACATCAATCAATGAATATTTATTAAGCACCTACTATATTCCAAGCATTGTGCTAAGTACTAGGTTACGAAGAGGCAAAAGACAGTCTCTGTTCTCATTGGAGCTTACAATCTAATGGTGGAGACAGCATTAAAACAAATATATATATCTATATGTGCGTGTGTGTGTATGTATGTATGCATGTATGTATGTATGTATGTATGTATATGTGTGTGTGTGTACATACATATGTCAAGCTATGTACAAAATAAATAGGAAATAACTAACAAAGGGAAGGCACTAGAATTAAGAAGGGTTGGAGAAGGCTTTAATAAAAGATGGCATTTTAGTTGGGACTTAAAGGTCAGTAGTCAGAGCATAAGTGATAAAATGCAAAAGAAATTGCCTGTTAACTCCTGGGCAGATATGACCTTTGAGCCAATCCTTGACTGCCCATGGAAGCCAGATGCAGATCAAGTTACTTCTGGTTACTCCTAAAAGCCAAAACCTCTGTTGGCTAAGATACTTAAGATGATGCTTATCTGCAAACACCAACTTTTGTAAATATAGTAGCTATTTATCTGCAGAAGAAACTCTCTAGGGAGCAGAGAATTTCACTTGGGACGGTTTCCTAAGATTAAAAGGAAAACTAACTGCTTAGAACCACAAAAAAGAATGAGACAGCTACAGATACTATCACAAATTTTCTTATTATGACCCAAAACCCAGTAGTTTTCGAACAGTGAAGTAAAGGGAACCCTTCTTTCTTTAAGAGAGTTACATAATCCAAATCTGCCCAAAAAAGCCACCTTATGACAGTGACTGCAGTTCAACGGCCACTCACATTATCTTATTTGCTAAAGTTTAATACCAATTATGTCAGTAATTGAAACAGATAAAAATATAGAGAGCACAGAAAAGAATATTCATTTAATAAAGAACTAAATTTTAATCCAAAGCAACATAAAAGCAATATAGGTCTAAGAATTTTACCACATGACAAAAGCCCTTCTTCATACTGTGTTGTATAGGAGAAATCAACAAACTCTCTTGGTGCAATGAGGTTCCATAGCTGCCCAGCAGTCGTGTAACGCATCACACAGCAATTCTACAAGATAAAGGAAAGAGAAACTAAAATGACTGGCTGTCATAGGAAGAACATGCACAGATTAAAGTTCACAAATCAATCTTTCAGAAAAATAATACACAGGCAACATTTCCCATGCATAGCTAACAAATTTCTTCTCACTAAGATTGTTAAATTTATTGGCATACAGCTGGGCAAAATAGCTCCTAATTATTGTTTTGATTTCCTCTTCACTGGTGGTGAATTTACCCTTTTCATTTTTTGATGCTGGTAATTTGGCTCTCTCCTTTCTTTTTTTAATCAAATTAACTAAAGGTTTATCTATTTTATTGTTTTCTTCTTCATAAAGCCTGCTCTTAGTTTTATTTATTAGTCCAATAGTTTTCTTAATTTCAATTTTATTAATCTGTCCTTTGGTTTTCAAAATTTCTAATTTGGTATTTAACTGGGGACTTTAAATTTGTTCTTTTTCTAGCTTTTTTAGTTGTATGCCCAATTCACTGATCTCTTCTTTCTCTATTTTATTCATGTAAGCATTTAAAGATATAAAACTTCCCCTAAGAACTCCTTTCGCTGCATCCCATAAGTTTTGATATGTTGTCTCATTATTGTCATTCTCTTGGATGAAGTTATTGATTGTCTCTATGATTTGTTGTTGTCTGACCCACTCATTCTTTAAGATTAGATTGTTTAGTTTTCCAATTAATTTTAATCTATTTTTCTATGGTCCTTTGTTACATGTAATTTTTATTGTATCATGATATGAAAAGGATGCATTTAATGTTTCTACCTTTCTGCATTGGATTGTGAGGTTTTTATGCCCTAATATGTGGTCAATTTTTGTGTAGGTGCCATGTACTGCCATGAAAATGATATATTCCTTTCTATCCCCATTCAATTTTCTCCAGAGGTCAACCATATCTAATTGTTCTAAAATTCTATTCCTCTCCTTAACTTCTTTCTTCTTTATTTTGTGGTTAGATTTACCTAGTTCTGAGAGGGGGAGACTGAAGTCCCCCACTAATATAATGTTGTTGTCTATTTCTTCCTGTAACTCCCTTAACTTCTCCTCTAAGAATATGGATGCTATACCACTTGGTACATGTATATGAGTAATGATATTACTTCATTATCTACAGTACCTTTTAGCAGGATGTAGTTTCCTTCCTTATCCCTTTTAATTAGATCTATTTTTGCTTTTACTTTGTCTGAGATCAGAATTCCTACCCCTGCTTTTTTTACTTCAGCTGAAGCATAATATATTCTGCTCCAGCCTTTTACCTTTACTCTGTGTGTATCCCTCTGCCTCAAATACATTTCTTGTAAACAGCATATTGTAGGATTATGGTTCTTTAACAAAGTTCTTCTCAAAGTGATCCTAACTGATCTGTTCTGTGGTTCTGTTCTCATTATAGCAGCCAATTTGTCTTGTCACTAGCTACACAGTTTCCACAGAAATGAGCTAGAAGCTGATGCTGGAGGCTATTTAGGCTAAAGCCACCTGCTTAAATACTCTGCACTAAAATAGCAAGCATAATAAGGAGTTACAACCTTTGCAAAACTTGATCATCCAGTTCTCTATTGCTTGAGGTGCTTTTTGCTTTTGATTTCAAGGACTAATTGTCAATGGATCATCTACATACATGCATGGACCCTAGATGAAGGCTATATTTTTAGAATGTTCATGTTACAAATGAAGGATAATCTTAAATCTAGAGCTTAAAAGAGCCTTGAAGGCCATTCTCTTCTTCTACCGTTTTTGTTTTGTTTTGGTTTTTTTGATGAAGAAAACTTGGGCCCAGAGAAGAGAGGTAACTTTCCTAAGGTCACATAGGTAGAATTCAGGTCCTATGATTCCTAAGTTCCACTCTCTTCCCACCATAACAGTATTTACAACAAAACAGGTAATGGTGTCCTCAGTCATAAGGGTTGCTACTAGGGCAAGCAAACTCAAAATTCTGATTGGATTTATTTTATTCACAAATTCACTTCAGTGACTTTGGTTTCTTCAGGAGAATACACAGGAGTCTACCATGAGACTTTACCAATGTCACTTATGACTCTTGGAGCACCATACATGCAAACACACTCAATGCCTTCTTAGGGAAATCATTTACCTCTTCAAACTGCTCAACAATATCCATTGAAGTCATTAAGGTGTCCCAATCTAGGCGACGAGGTCCTGGACGTATGTAATCTATAACATTGTTTGTAACATCCTCCATAATACCTTGAGCTTTGTAGCTATAGAAACAGATGTTAAATGTTATTAGAGAAACATTTCTGTCATCTTTCATAAAACAGAATTGACTCTGAATGAATAAAAGGAATTTGAAGGAGAGGTATAAGAACAGGGTACAGATCATGAAAATATCACTTAATTTTATTCTACATGCATCCTTTGTTTCCTTATCTTACCAGCATACAGTTGCCTGAACTATATTACCTCAACACAAATACCATGAAATCTTTTTAAGTCACAAAGTGCATAAAAGCTTACATACTGCTACCATTCTGGGGTTATGCTACATATATGTTGTCATTACACATTCATCCAGTAATATCCTACTGGTACTAAACATACTATTTCCCTTTGTATCTCAAACAAACTCTGGGCCAAAGATATCTCTAATAGCCTCTGTTTGGCAGTCTGTATACAGTTGAAAAAGGATGTAAAACATAATCCCTACAAATTAAGTAATTTTAAATCAACAAATTATCGTTAAGACCCTACTGTGTACAAAGTGTTGTATGTTAGTGTGTGTTTATGTGTGTGTGTGTGTGTGTGTGTGTGTGTGTGTGTGTGTGTGTGTGTAGGGGGGTTCAAGGAAATATAAGACAAAATCCTTTCCCTAAGAAAATTAAATCAAGCTCGGGAAACAAGGGATGTCACAAGGGGATACCAACAAAAGTTAAGTAACAGTAAGTACAAAAACACAAGAGATACAAGGGAATACAAGATTAATCATAAAGGGAAGTAGTAGTAGCAATGAATGCTCTTAATGAGGCAGTACAGTGTAGGAATGTATACTGTATTTGGAATCAAAAGACCTGGTTTTGGGGCAGCTAGGTGGCGCAGAGGATGGAGCACCAGCCCTGGAGTCAGGAGGACCTGAGTTCAAATCTGGCCTCAGACACATAACACTTACTAGCTGTGTGACCCTGGGCAAGTCACTTAACCCCATTGCCTAGACCCCCCCCCAATTTAACTTAGTTCATCACGTGTGTGCGTGTGCATGTTTATGTATATATCTTCCTACATACATATGTATAACCATGTGTGTATATATATTTATACACATGTGTCTATATACACACGTACACATACATATCTGAGAGACACTATGCTGTGAATATGACAAAAAAAAGTTTTTGCCCTTAAGAAGCTTACATTCTACTTGGACACAGATATGTAAACATAAAATCCTTTGAGGAGAATGAAAGCATTAATGACTAAGGGGATCAGTCAAGCAAGTTTTAACAGATAAAATGACTTGAATCCTAAACTAATCCTAACTTAAATCCTGAACTAATCCTAAAAAGAAGGTAAGTATTCTTCTAAGAGGCGGGAAAAAAAAGTGTACTCCAGATAATGGGGACAGCTTGTGAAAATGCACTGAGATAGTCTGAGATAAACAATTACGTTCAGGGAAGAACTTAGTTGGGTAGAGTGAAGTGTGTGAAGAAGAAGAAGAGACAATCCTGAAAAGGCAGGCAGAAGCAAGAGTGGGGAGAACCTTGAACAGCTACCAATGAGGAGCAACAGGTTTTTAAGCAGAGGAGTGACATCCTAAGATTCTGTCACAATCTATTATAATTCTGGCTTTTTCATGAACCAGTTATGACTTTAAATAAATTACTTATTCTTTCTCGGGCTAATTATCTGTCAGATGAGGGGATTTAGCTAAATATTTCTAAGGCTGCTTCGAGTAAACTCACCAAAAGTTTAGCTGAGAACCATAAAAATTCAATGTTGAAAGAAACCTCGAGGCCACCCAGTCCACGCTGAATCTGAATCTCCTCTACAATAGATTGGACAATTTGTCATCCATCCTTTGCTTGAGGACCTCCAGTGAGGGAGAACTCATTATCTCCTCAAAGCAGTGCATTTCACTTTTAGATAACTAATCGTTGCTAAGTTTTTCCTTACAGGAACACCACATTTGGAGAGTGATTGAGGGTATGATTGAAAGAATAGAAAGAATTGCCAATGGAAAAAAATTAAAAATGGAAAAGTTTAAGATAGAACCTTGGCAGACATCTATGTTTGAGAAAAAAAAAAGATGATGAGAAGCCAGCAAAGAAGACATAAGGAAAAGTCAGTAATCAATCATCATGTAGTATTAACAAAATCTATGAATTAAAGGTATCTAAAAAAGGGCAAGTTCACCAGTGGTGTCCAATATTGCAAAGATCATGAAGTAGGCCCCTCTCCAGAGGCAATTTCACTTTCTGAAATAAATGGTCCAAATTTGATCCTTTATGGATGAGCATTAGTGAAATAAAAACTTAACGTTATTCTTCATAGGGAAAAGGAGCAGGGAAAGCAATAAGGAAGGAAGTCGAGGAGTCTTACTGCTTCTCTTTCTTCAGATATGTCATTCATTGTTACAGGAGTTTTCTCAGAGAATGAAGATTAATTTTCCCACTTTATCTCATTACAAAAGCATTTTGCTTTCAACAATTCACTCAATTCTAGCTTTCCCTGACCTTGTCATGGACACTGTCTATCTTATACATCTGGTGATTCCGGTCAATCTTGGACATTGTATTCCAGAGTGTCAGGGTGTATTCTAAGTTCTTTGGGACAGCAGGAGGGACCTTATGTGTGAAAATTCTGTGATAGCTACTTCCTTCAGTAGTGTGAACTAACTGAATTTTTAAAAATAACCTTAAACCACCCTGGGCAAGTCACTTAACCCCATTGCCTATCCTAAAAAAAAAAAAGAAAAGAAAAAGAAAAGAGATTAAAAAATAACCTTAAACCAAAAGGCTAACACTTCTTGGCAGTGACCATCTACATATGTGAAGCTTTAAATAGGATTAAGAACCAACTTTAGAAGATAACTTACAGATATCCATTGAATTCATCTGATGGCTTCCGCCAAACTGTTACATCTTTCTGAAAAAATCAAAACAGGACATTGTAATACTGTAAACATCACTTAAGCTACTGAAATCAGTCACTAAATATTTTCTATCTCCTCATAGCCCTATCTGCTTTAAAATATAAACTCCCAATGAGAAATGTAAAAAAAGTTTGCATTATGCTTTATTAAATGAGTTGAATTTGAAATTGTTCCATCCCCAATTAAAGTTCTTCAAATATTACCTAAATTATAGCATCCCAATAAATACCCTACCATTATGAGGTACCAGGAGATGTGAAGTATAATGGCACCATTATTATGCTTAATATTATGATTTATACAAGTTAATACAAAAATCACTTATTCTACACTGACATGTTCATCTGATACAATAATGTCTAAATTTCATTATACATTTTTAATTGTATTATATTTACCCATTTAAACTATATTATTCTTAAACTATATATCATTTCAAATAAGTTTCCTTTTTTAAAAAATAATTTTCTTGATATAGTCTTGTTTTTACATTGCCTTGATTTTTGCTAGTGTATTTTCCTTATCCTTCATCCCATGCTCTATAACAAAGCCTTTTTTTTCCCAAAGAGGAAGAATAAAAAAATCAGCAAAGCCAATCAATACATTTTTTAAAAAAATGGAAATACATGCAATGTTCCACACCTGTGAATCTCCTACCGACAAAGTACTGGGAAGTGTCTTTTCATATCTCTTTTTTTGGGGTCATGGTTGGTCTGTAATTTTGCAACATTTAACTTTCGGGATTTTTTTGTGGTTGTTGGTTCTTTCCATTCAAATTCTTGTAGTTTTTGTGTATATTGTTTTCTTGGCTCTACTTAGTCCACATCAGATAGTGCAAATGTTTCCATGTTTCTCTGTATTCATTAGATAGTTGTTACTATTGTGTAATGTATACACAATCTATTCCACCAATCCACCACTGTTTCTTAGCCAGTACCAAACTGTCTTGGTGATTACCACTTTGTAACATGGTTTGAAATCTGGTAATACTTGGCTACCTTCCCTTACATTTTTTAAAAATTTATTCCTCTGATATTCTTGAAGGCCTTTTGTTCTTCCAAATTAAACTTTTTTTCTAGATCTGTAAAATTATTTTTTGGTAGTTTGGTATGGCACTAAACAAGCAAATTAATTTAGGAAGAATTATCATTTTTATTATATTGGTTCAGACTACCCATGAGCAATTAATTTTTCTCTCATTGTTTAGATCTGTACTTACCTGTGTGAAAAGCGTTTTGTAATTATGTCCGTATGGATGTGTCTTGGCTAGTAGACTGCTAAGTATTTTATAATGTCAACTGTTATTTTAAATGGAATTTCTCTTTCTGTCTTTTCCTGCTGGGTCTTTTTGGTAATATCTAGAAATGCTGATAATTTATGTGGGTTTGTTTTATATCCTGCAACTTTGCTAAAGTTAATTGTTTCAGCTAGTTTTTTAGTTGATTCTCTAGGGTTTCCTAGGTACATTATCATATTATCTGAAAAGAGTGCTTGTTTTGTTTCCTTGTTGTCTATTCTTATTCTTTCAATAATTTTTTTTTGTCTTATAGCTGGCATTTTTAGTACAATATTGTTGCCATAAATATGGTGATAATGAATAGTCTTGCTTCACTCTTGATATTATTGGAAAGGTTTCTAGTTTATTTTCATTGCAGAGAAATGATTGTTCTTGGTTTTAGATAGGTACTACTCATCATTTTAAGAAAAGCAACATTTATTCCCATGTTTTCTAGTGTTTTTAATAGGAATGGGTGTTGTATTTTGCCAAAAAAGCTTTCTCCTGCCATCTATGATATAGTCACATGTTTTTTGTTGCTAATTGTTATTGATATGGTCAATTATGTTTATTTTTTTTCTAATACAGAACTAACCCTGCATTCACGGTATAAAGCAAGCTTGGTCATAGTATATGAGCTTTATGATATATCACTGTAGCCTCCTTACTACTACTTTATTTAAAATTTTTGCATCAATATCATTAAAAATATTAGTCTATGGTTCTCTTTCTCTGTTTTTGCTCTCCATTTTAGGTATCAAAACCACATTTGTGCATTAAAAGGAATTTGGTGGGACTCTTTTACCTATTTTTTCAAAGAGTTTATATAGAATTAGAATTAATTGTTCTTTAAATGTTTGGTAGAATTCATTTGTAAATCCATAAGGTCCTTACGATTTTTTCATAGGGAGCTCATTTATGGCTTGTTCAAATTATTTTTCTAAGATAGGATTATTTAAGTATCTATTTTATCTTCTGTTGATCTGGGCAACTTAGATCTTCATAAATATTCATCCATTTCTTTAGATTATCATTTTTATTGGCATATAATTGAGCAAAATAGCTCCTAATAATTGCTTTATTTTCATTGGTGATACATTCACCCTTTTATTTTTGATACTGGTAATTTGGTTTTCTTTTTTTAAACAAATTAACCAATGGTTTATTATTTACTGGCCATCCACCCCACCCCACCCCACCCCACCACACAAAACCAGCTCTAGTTTTATTTATTCTATTTAAAAAATGTTTTTCAATTTTCTTAATCTCTCTTAAATTTCAGGGTTTCTATTTTGGTGTTTAATTGAGGGTTTTTAATTTGTTCTTTTTCTAGTGTTTTTTTTTAACTGTATGTCCAATTCATTCATCTGCTTTCTCTCTTTTATTGATGTGTTTAGAGATATAAATATTTCACTAAGTATGCTTTGGCTGCATCCTATAAATTTTGGTGTATTGTCTCATTATTGTCATTCTCTTGAATGAAATTATTTATTGTTTCCATGATTTGTTCTTTGAACTACTCATTTTTCTGACTACTTCCTCCTTTAATCCACTCTCCCTCTTATCCCTTCTCCTTCTCTCTAATCCCCTTATGTTCCTCCTTCCCTGTCTTGTAAGACAGATTTCTATACCACACAGTGTATGTGTGTATATAAATGTGTATATTACAAATATTTGTGTGCACATATATATGAATATATATATATATATATATATATATATATATATATATATATCTTCCCTCTTTGAACCCATTCAGATGAGAATAAAGTTCAGTATTACCTTCCCATTTTCTTCTCCATTCTAAAAACTCTTTCTTGCATGCCTCTTTATGTGAGATAATTTTCCCCATTCTTCCTCTCTTCCCCTTCTTCAATGCATCCCTCTTTTTCACCCCTCCATTTTTTTTAGATCATCTCAACATACTCGATTCATAACCATACCCTCTTTCTATGTAGACTCCATCTAACTGCCCTAATAATGATAAAGTTTTTAGGAGCATATGTACCATCTTCATATATAGGAATGTAAACAGTTTAATCTCTGATGATGTTTTATCATATGATTTCTCTGTCAGGTTTACCTTTTAATGCTTCTCTTGAGTCTTGCATTTAAATGTCAAATTTTCTATTTATCTCTGGTTTTTTCTTGTTTTATTTTTTTTAAATGTGGCAGTGGGGTTAAGTGTCTTGCCCAGGGTCACACAACTCGTGAGTGTTATGTGTCTGAGGTCAGATTTGAACTCAGGTCCTCCTGACTCCAAGGCCGGAGCTCTATCTACTGCACCATCTAGCTGCCCCTATCTCTGCTCTTTTCATCAGGAATGCTTAAAAATCTATATCATTAAAGATTCACTTCTTCCCCTGAAGGATGAGGGTAGATTATACTTGGTTGCAATTCTAGTTCCTTTGCCTTTCAGAAAATCTTATTCCAAGCCCTCTGCTCCTTTATTACCATAGCTGCTAAATCTTTTGTGACTTGACTATGACTCTAAAGTATCTTCTATGGCTGCTTTTGATATTTTCTCCTGAGAGAAAGTATGTTGACCAGGGAGCTTGGGAATTTGACTACAATATTCCCGGAAATTTTCATTTTGGGATCCCTTTCATGAGATAACCAGTGAATTTTTTAATTTCTATCTTACCTCTGGTTCTAAGATATTAGGGCAGTTTTCCTTTATAATTTCTTGAAATATGATGTTTAGGCTCATCATATATATCATAATTTTCAGGTGCTCCAACAATTCTTAAATTATCTCTCCTTAATCTATTTTCCAGGTCAATTGTTTTTCTGATGAAGTATTTCACATTTTCTTCTGTTTTTCTTCATTCTTGTGACTTTAATTATTTCTTGATATCTAATAGGGTCATGAACTTCCACTTGCCCAATTCTAATTTTTAAGGAATTATTTTCTTCAGTGAGCTTTTGTGTTTCTTTTTCCATTTTGCTAATTCTGCTTCATAAGGAATTATTTTCATCTGTGAAGTTGGCCAGTTCTACTTTTTAAGGAGTTCTTTTCTTCAATGAGGTTCTGTATTTCTTTTACCAAACTATTAATTCTCTTTTCATAGTTTTCTTTCATTATTCTCATTTCTTTTCTTTTGCAAAATTATTTTTTGCTCTTAAAAAAAATCTTTCTTTTGCTCTTCCAGGAATTCTTGCTCAGCTTACATCAAATCTGCACTTTGCTTTGAAACTTCGCTTGTAGATGTTTTCAGATTGTTGTCTTCCAAGCTTCTGTCTTGAAATTCCTTATCACCATAATAGCTTTTTATGGTCAAGTTCTTTTTTTGTTGTTGTTTGCTCATTTTTCCAGCCTATTTTTTTGACTGTAAACTTTATGTTAGAGTTAAGCCTGGGGTTCAGGCTTTTTCACCATGCTGTTTTTGGGGGAAGAGAGGGAGTAGAAGTCTGTTAAGTTTTCAGTGTTTTCAAGGTGGTGATCTGAAGAGAGGTGTGGTCACTACTCTCCTCATCTGTGCTCCTCTTTACCCAGGTGGGGCCCTATTTCCTTGCAACTGCAAGTGCCAGTACTCCTCTCTATCCTAGAACTGCAACCAGGGCCCCTGCTCTCTCGTGACCCTCTCCACCATGGAATTATGACCCAAAATTGGATAATGGGACACGGAGCTGCCGAACAATGTACCATAGTCACTCAGTGCTAACAGAGGGTTCCCCTATAATCTCTGACCAGTTGTCCAATTCCCTTACTGTCTCTGGTGAGAGCTCTTAAAAACTGCTGCTATTGCTGTTCCTGACACTGCAGCTGTTTCCAATGCCCACCATTAGTGTTGCCAATCAGCTCCACTCTGGGCCACCCCCTACCTCAGTGTCACAGATCTTTCCCTCTGACCTCCTAAATTGTCTTGGACTGGAAAATGGTCTTATCTTGACCTTTTGTTGGCTATGTCACTCCAGAATTTGAATTTAATGCATTATTTTAAAGTTGTTTGGAGCGGAATACTGGGAGATTTGGGCTGGAATACTTCCTCTACTTCACCATCTTGTCTTCATCTCCTATATCTTCCTCAAAATTTAACTTCTTTATCTCAAGATGATAACCATTATGATACAAATATTAAGAATTCAATAAGACTATTCCTCAGTTCAACACCTAGTTAACAAATGAGAATATTAACCAATATAAGATTAATAGTTATAGCCCTCCCTCTCATACAGAAATTAAACCACCAGGAATACACTTTTCTCAGATTAGTTTTACACCCATTCATTGTCTCTGGTGCATAATTTCCACGTTGGTAATGATTCTCACAGTAAAATAAAAAGCCCAATATACAATTAGCTTCTAAGGTAGATATTATCTTTCAAAAAAAGAAAAAGAAAAAAGATTGAAGGCAGTGGCTTCAAGAGAATAACTGTTCAATTTGCATTTGCTGAATGTCAATCACAAAAGCAAAACGTACTCAAGTCTCAGTTATGGTTTATCGCTTCTTCCCTTAGACCTCATCCTACGACATACACATACACAATCTAGTGTATAAATCAAAAGCAAGAAATTAAATGAGTTTGATAGCACCTGTTGGAAAAACTGTTCATTATTATGGCTGATCTTCTGAAGTTCCCTGAAAGAGAATATTTATGGGGAAAAAGACCAAAACTTTATATCACAAATTAAATCATGAGGCAGCAATCATCCTTCAGCATAGCAAAAGAGTTCTAAAATGTTAATGCAGTGAGCATTATTTTGTGAAAAGCTGGGCCTGATGATCAATAATCTAACCTGCAAGAACCACAATATATGAATGGTCACACTTTACAATACGGTATGTACCAAAAGTCTGGGTGTAGTTTTAAACTTCAGTAGCTTAAAATTAAGCTTTTAAGGGCAGCTAGTTGGCACAGTGGATAGAGCTCTGGCCTTAGAGTCAGGACTTGATACTTACTAGCTGTGTGACCCTGGGCAAGTCACTTACCCCTGACTGCCTCAGCCAAAAGAAAATTAAGTTTTTGGACACTAAGACTTCTGGGGCACCATGAATTTCCATTGAAGAGGGAATTATAATATCATTATAGGTAGCAAATATAAAAAAATTACCGTTTTCTTAGCAACTCTCCACTTATCATCTTCAACTCTGTGGTACTGGCACAGTGTGTTTTCAATTTTACTTGCAAGGAAAGTAGCATCAGTCAAGGCTTCCATTTCTTTTTCCTGTTTTAAAAACCAAGCTTTTATTTTCAGTTATGAAATTTAGGTATTTATCAACACATCACAGTAATTACTGAAACATTTTAGCAGGGATTAAAAGTAATTACAGAAAGAAAGGTTAAATTATAATTTTGTTTTTCATGTCAAATCAGAATCTATGGAAAAGAACAAGCTGTAGAAGGTCACTTAAAGAAAATGCACCTATAGTTCCATAACTCACACCAAAAAAAAAACCCCTCTATTTACAGACTTATGCCTTGGAACACATTTTTCAAGCAAAGTTCTAGTGTCCATATGACTGAATACAGCTAGAAAGGCCACTCATATTTACAAATATCTTGGGGAGGTGACAATAGAGATGGATAATTGCTTAGCCCCTAATTGAACAGGAAAAGACTGGGCTGGATCATGTCTGGAAAAACAAACATTGTAATTTTAATGATCTAAATGCTCTTATTGTCTTAAAAATCTTTCCCTTTAATGGCAGTTTTCTCCAGGTAGTTAAGCTATAGCTGTGGAGCATGGGCATCAAGACCTCAAAAGAATTACAACTGCAGGTGACCCAGTGAATTTTTGGTTGAGATGATTATCTGAATATAGGCAGGTAGATAAGTCTTCCTCCCCTCCACCCCCACCCCCAACTCTACCAACTCCAAGAAACCAGGAAATTACATTAGGCCAAAGCCAGTAAGAAACCTTAAAAGTAAACTATTCCACTCCAAAACTACATAAGAAGTTATCCAGAAACCCACAGGAAATAGGAAAGAGAGCCACTTGCAAAGCCAGTTGCCAGCACAAGCAAATAAGCCAACAGCCTCCCGACAGGATGAGAGATGAATCAGAGGCATGCGTAGCCTCCAATTCTTTGTGTCAAAGAGACAAGAGAGACAGCAGGAGTGAAAAGTGAAAAGTTTCCTCAAAAAGCCAAAAGAAAGCTGGAAACACACAGTGTAGAACTTGGAAGCCACTAAGAAGCCACCAAGAAACCACCATCAACCAATACAGCCATGACAGCCCAAGGGTGCCAAACCCCATAGAGGGCCCTGAAGACTTAGTTCTTTGGATTTCAAAAATCCGGAGGGTTTAACCGCAAGAAACAAGGTAAACCAGGAAGCCAGGTACCATACATCATGCCAAACAATGCAAACAAGGCCAACAATTTTACCTAAAGACAGTTAATCGGAGCAAACTAAGGCAGAATCTGGTCTGGAATAAAGCCCCTATTCTGGGACTAAGGCCGGAGAGATAAGAAAACTTTAAAAAGATAATGATCAGCTTGAAAAATATTGTAGATTTAGAGACACTCCAAAGTTAAACCTGGAGGTAGACAGAAATGCCATGACAAATATAAGCAGGCTTAAAAGGGGGAAAATGTATTTTTAACACAGACTAGATGAATACATAAATGAGGCAAGAGAAAAAATAAGATAAAAACTCTAGAGGAATGAAACGAAAGGAGATTAAACAGCTTAGAACAAAAACTGATAATCATACCCAAGTAACATAATCCCTGAAAATTAGAACAAACCAAATGGAAATCACTGACTACATGAGACAGCAAAAAACACTGGAACAATATAAAAAAGATTGAACAAATAGTGGAAGATGGAATGGAAAATGTAACTTACCTGATATAAAAAACAATTCACCTGGAAAATAGGGAAAGGAGACATAATTTAAGAATCATTGGAGTCACTGGAAACCATGATTTTAAAAAAAGAAAAACTTGGACATTATATTTCAAGAAATCATAAATGAAAAATGCCTGGATCTATTAAATCAGAGAGCAAAGTGAAGATAGAAAGAATACACCAATCACCTGGAAAAGTCCCAGGAATGTCATATCCAACATCTAGAGCTTGCCTGTCAAAGAAAAAACACACCAAGCATCCTGTAAGAAATTCAAGTATCGAGGAGCTACAGTTAGGATCACACAAAACCTGAAGTACTCTTCTATAAATGAGAGATTGTGCAATGCAATATTCCAAAAGGGAAAAGAAATGGACTTACAACCAAGAACAACCTACCCTGCAAAACTGGGCAAAAAACTCCCTACAGAAGGAAAAATGGGCCTTTAATGTCAAAGAGACCAGAGAAAATCTTTAATGGAAAAGATTTTCAAGCATTCCTGATTAAAAGACTAGAATTGAGTAAGCATTTTAAAATGTAAATACAAGAGTTAGGGGGGAAAAAAACACCTAGAAAGGTAAATATATTCCAGTAATTGGAAGGGGCTATACCATGATGCAGTGCAAACATTTCTGGTTAAATTTTTTTTTTAAATTAGCTAGCATTTATTTTGTCTGTCTCCCTCCCCATGAAAATAAAAATAAAACCAAAACCATAACAAATAAGCAGTCATCAAGCAAAACAAATTCCCATATCAGCCATGCCCAGAAACCTGTCTTATTCTGCGTTAGTCCATAACCTGCCAGGAGGTGAATAGCAATTTTTCACCAGTCATCTGGAATCAATGATTGATCATTACATAGATCAGAGTTCTTAAGTCTTTCAAAACTGTTCTTTTTATACTATCACACAGGTGATGTTATATAGTATGTAGTCTTTTCCTGGTTCTATTTATTTCACTCTGCGTCAGTTCACACAAGTATTTTCATGTTTCTCTGAAATTTTCCTCATTTCTTATAGGACAATAGTATTCCATTATGTTTATATACTATAATTTGTTCAGCCATTCTGCAAATGATAGACATCGCCTTAGTCTCCAATCATCACTACTATAAAAAGAACTTTTATAAATACTTTTATACACTTGGACCTTTTCTTCTTTCTTTGAGCTATCTGGATTGTAAAGCTAGTAATGGTATTTCAGGATCAAAGAATATGTACAGCTTTGTAACATTTTGGACATAGATTCAAATTGTTTTCAAGAAGTGCTGGATCATTTCACAGCTCCACTAACAATGTGTTTCTTTTCTCTCTGCCCTTCCAATATTTGTCCATCTTCCTTTTTGTCAATTTTTCCAATATGGATGTGATATGGAACCAAAGAGTTGCTTTAATTTTCATTTCTCTCATTATTAGTGACTTGGAGCCAATTTTTAATATGGCTATTAATAGCCTGAATTTCTTCCCTTAAGAACTGCCTATTCATAACCTTTGGTCAATCAACTGGGAATTGGCTCTTACAAATTTGAATAATTTCCTTATAGGTTTTGGAAATGACCTTCACCAGAAAAATTCACTGCAAAGATTTTTTCCCAGTTAATTTTCCCTTCTAATCTTAGACTCACTTCATTTGTTTGTGCAACTTTTAAATTTTACGTAAAAAATATTGCCCATTTTATTTTCTGTGATCCTCTCTACCCCTTGTATCGTCATGAACTATTCCTTTATCTATGGATACGAGAAGTAATTTCTTCCTTGTCTGTCTAAATTGCTTATGACATGCTGTTGTATGTCTACAGCATGTATTCATTTGAAGCTTAACTTGATATGTGATGTGAGGTACTGGTCTAACTCTAATTTGTACCAAATTGCAGTCCAGTTTTCCCAGAATCTTTTGTCAAAGAGTCAGCCTTATCCCAGCATCTGGGTTTACTGAACAGTAGGCCACTAGGTTTGTTTGCTTCTTTATGTTGTATACTTAATCTGTTCCATTAATTGACTTTTTTAAAACTAGTGCTAAATTATCTTAATGATTATTGCTTTGTAAAGTTAAAATCTAATACTACTAGATCCTTTTTTTCCCACTTTCTTCATGTACATGAACCTTGAGGCTTGATTTGTTCCTACACATGAACTGTTATTTTTTTGCTAGTTCTACAAAGAATTCATTGATTGGTATGGCAGTATTATCAGTTTTATTACATTGATTTGTTCTACTCATGAAAAATTAGTATATGCCCAATTATTTAGGTTTGTCTTTATTCTAGTGTGTTTTGTAATTGTATTTAGTACAATCAGTAATTAGTATTCAGATACAAAGGAGAAGAGACAAGCGTCCCTTCAGAACCTTAATGTCTTTAAAAACTATTGAGGGAGTGAAATAAGAAAAACAGAGCAGCTGGGGTGGGGGTGGATTTGTTCTTCTCAGGGTTGTATGAGGGAAAAAAAGAGCTAAAAAAGCAATATATGTATACATATATATGTATTATATATGTATATATATATGTATAGATAGATAGATAGATAGATATAATGCTGAAAAGAGGAAGAGGTGAAATTTTCTGTTTTGCATAATCTAAGGGTATGAGATTATTCAACTATGAGGAAGAGGCAAGCATAAACTGAACCTCATTTTGTCTGACCTAAACAAAAAACACACAAACAAACACAAAGGTTTTTGGGGGTGAGGTGGGTAAGGGGAAAGCTGGCTAAAGGAGGGAATAGGGGGCAGCTAGGAGGCACAGTGGATAAAGCACCGGCCCTGAAGTCAGGAGGACCCGAGTTCAAATCCAGCCTCAGACCAAACACTTGACACTTACTAGCTGTGTGTCCCTGGGCAAGTCACTTAACCCCAGCTGCCTAAAAATAAAAAAAAAAATTAAAGGAGAGAATATAACCAGGAAGGGAAAATATTATAAGCAAAATAAACTTTCTGATCTTGAAGGTGGGAAAAGGAAAAAGAAAAAGGGAAAGAACTAGAAACAAAACTGGGTGTCTATCAATAAGAGAATAGTTGAATAAATGTGGCATACAAATGAATGCAATGGAATATCAATGTACTATTAGAAATGATGAAAAACAATTTCAGAAAATATTGGGAAGCATGAATAGATATAGAATGAAGTGAGCAGAACCAAGAGAAACACTAAATTAAACTAACTAGACAAAACACTAAAACGAAAGAAAAACAAGCAAAGTCTGATCTAGGCAATGATCTATGAGGGAAAATGTTACCAATCTCCTGGCAAGAGAAGTGATGGTCTAAAGTGCAGAGACACATTTTTTAAATGGCCACTGTGAGAGTTGTTTTGTTGGACTATGGTTATTTGTTACAAGGGTTTTTTCCTTCTCTTATTAAGTGGGAATGCGGGGAG